CGTGGAGGAGCCGGCGCAGGAGGAGGTGAACGCCGAGAAAGAACAGGTGCCTGTTGAGGCTGCCAGCACTGAACGCCCTCCAACTGCTTAAATTTAACTTTTATGTCATCTTTCCTTGGCCTGCGTGCCGCTTGTATTGTATCATTACCCGACCAAGGGGTTGGGGTTTTTCAACAATTTTTTATTTCAACATTACTGTTAATATCAAGCATTCGACCGTTTTGCCGGTTTTTCTCCAAATTTTTTGAAGTCTCTGAATTTTTTGCTTTTCATGAATTTTGCTAAGTGTAGGTAGCTTCTTGTCTTCATGAATGCTATATATACCGATTGTTCTTGCCCCTGGGCGACATGCGCCTGGTTTTTCAAAGGTGAGTTGATTGACTTGGAATTTTTGATACTTAAAAAGTATTACTAATTCTGAGTCAATCAATCACTTATGGTGATTGCCCCAAACCAGGCGTCCAGCCGGCCATTAAACTGGTGAACATCTAGCTTAACTCGGCTCTCGGCCTTATAGTTAAACGCAATATACTAAGTTGTACTTAGTTTATTTTATTGATCATCAATAGTCCGTCTTCTTGGTGCCTATACAGAACAAGCGTTAATCTGGATATTTAAACCAAGTAACTTTCGTGATATTGCTGACCTAAATAGGAATAGTGGTCGATAGCCGCTTGTTTTAATTTTTACAAGAACAGGCGGCTTCATTCGTACCTTTTTAGGTTCCAAAGTAGGTTGACTATGACTTGAACCTTTTGAGGGTTAATCAGTCTCCGCCACTTGAACTTTGAAAAAACAGAAGAGTGCCGCCTGTTTTTTAAGGAACAGGTCGCGAGTTGTTTGTTTACATTCTCTTGCGTGGAAACAGGCGGCATTTGGAGACAGTTGGCTGTTGGTTTGCAAACGATTACAAACCTTTAGGGAATAGTGGCCGAATACCGTCTGTTTGCCAATGAACAAGCGGCTTGATTCGCACCGTTTAGGTTCCCTTTCAAGGTTGTCAATGTGACTATGAGTTAACCCTTTGGGTTAATCAATCTTTGTCACTTAAGTTTTGAGTGAGTAGAAGAAACAGGCGGCTTTGGGCGCTTGGTACCTTTTTATTCGTCAAGTGTTGCTTAGCTATTTACTCAAATTATGCCGGCTGTATTGTCCCAAGAAATAACAGACGATTTCTAACTCAGATTTTAACTATCTACCGCGTGTTTTTTCAGTATAGCGATACGTTTATCTTTGTCTCAGGTCAAACAACTGCGAGCTTGTCTAGAAGACACTCGGTTGGGCCATTTGTTTTATGTTTATAGAGCAATGTGCCACCCAAATGGGAGATGCTCTCTACGACGAATTCACCTAGATGGATGTCGCCGGACGCCTGCTTTGTTTTGGGACAGACGTATTGTTTTAATTTCATAAGGATCATCTAGCTGTGGGCCTTAGGTTGATCATCCGCCCTGAGGCCTCAATAGGTTTGGAGAACAGTGATAAGTCTAGACTTAATCATGTACTCATGCAAGAGGAATAAATAAAAATAATGCCGACTGTGTACAGGCGGCTTGCCCCACTGAGGAGACTTGTAAAAATTGAAAAATAAATTGCAAATTTTATTGATATGTCTAATATATAAATAATTTACAATGCTCAGAAGTAGTACTTTTTCAAGTTGTCTACGTTCCAAGTTCTGGCAAGCTGCCTGCCGTTTGGTGTTTCCAGGCAGTAGGTGCCGCCTCTAACTTCTTCATAGATTCGGTAGGGGCCATCCCAGTTAGGAGTTAGCTTTCCTTGTTCGTTGGCCCTACCGTCTGCTTTCATTTTTCGTAGCACAAAGTCCCCTACTTTTAGGGGCCGCTTGTGCACTCTTTTATTGTAAGCTCTCGTCATTCTCAGACGATAGATTTCATGGCGCAAGGCTGCATTGCCCTACGTTCTAGAAGCGAATCCAATGCTAGCCGCATGGCTTCCCAATTAGCCTCTTCGTCATAAAGCATGACTCGAAGGGTCGGCTCATAGTGCTCAATAGGCAGAACAGCCTCTGCGCCCCATAAACCATGAGAAATGGAGTTTCACCAGTCGCCCCTTTTTTAGTCGTCCTGATGGCCCATAGAACATGCGGTAGCTCGTCAGCCCATAGGCCGCCGGCTCTTTCAATTTTCTTCTTGATGCCATCAGAGATCAACTTGTTGAAGGCTTCTACTTGGCCGTTTGCTTGGGGGCAGCCGACTGATGCAAAACAATGAGAGATTCCTTGATCTCCCAACCAATTTGTGAGAGCAGGCGTCTCAAATTGAGGTCCATTTTCAAAAACCATAGACACGGGTATCCCAAATCGAGTGATGATATTTCTCCAAATGAAGGAGATGACATCTTTTGTTTTTATGCCTTTGACTGCCTCCGCTTCTACCCACTTGGTGAAGTAGTCGACTGCTACCAAAATATATCTCCGTTCGTCTGTAGCAAGCGTATAGGGACACATAATGTCCATGCCCCATTTGGCAAATGGTACTGGGCTATGGGTAGTCGTCAGGTCAGTGGATGGATGAGCTTGCCAAACCTTTGACACTTGTCACATGTTTTAACCATCTCCATGGCGTCTGCTTCTAGGGTAGTCTAGAAGTAGCCTTGCCGCTTGGCTCTCTTTGCTAGGGTCCTGCCGCCTATATGGGAGGCACAAAAGCCTGAGTGAAAGTCTTCTAGGACCTCTCGGCCCTTCTCTGGGGTAACACATTTCAAAAGCGGTTGTAGATAGCTTTTCTTGAAAAGTTCCCCTTTGTGAATCTCAAAATTAGACGCACGTTTTTTCATTATGATCATCTCTAGGTAAGTATCCGGCAGGGTGCCGTCTGTTAAGTATGCTCGGATGCCATCCATCCAGGTTGAGCTTCGATCAAGGACTCCAATAGGTTCCTCCTCAATGCTTCTTTTTTCCATTACTTCCCAGAAAACAGACCTTAGTGTATCACAAGAGGCGGATGATGCCAATTTGGAAAGGGCATCCGCCTGGTTATTCTCGGACCTGGGCACTTGACTCAGGTGGAATTCTTCAAGTGTCCCAACCTCTTCTTTGACCACCTGTAGATATTTGATCATAGCCGGATGTGTGGCTTCATAGTCACCATGGTATTGACTAACAATCAATTGTTAATCAGAACAGGCGTCTACTTTCTTTGCCCCAGCCGCCTTACACATTCGAATGTCGGCTAGCAGGGCTTCATATTCGCCTTATTGCTTGAGGCTTGAAACTTGAAACGTAATGCATACTCATACTTGTCCCCCTCAGGAGACTGACATATGACGCCTGCACCACAGCCGTTCATTGTGGAGCTCCCGTCCACAAATACCTCCCAGACTTGATCAGGATTGTCTGGATCAGTCGGCCTAGTCATCTCAGCAATGAAGTCGGCAAGTGCCTACCCCTTCACTGCTTTCCTTGGCTCAAAAGTAATTTCTAAGCTTTGGATTTCAATTTCCCATTTAATCATACGCCCGAATGATTCCATGGTTGTTAGTGGCCGCTTAATTGGTTGATCAGTGTAGACCATGACCGGATGTGCCAAGAAGTAAGGTTTTAACTTCTTAACTGCCATATAGAGGGCCAGGCCAAATTTTTCAACCATGGGGTACCGTAACTCAACATTTTTCAAAACATGGCTGATAAAATAGACGGGGAGCTGGCAACCGTTTCTTTCAACAAGGAGAACGGCACTGAGAGCATGATCAGAGACAGCCAAGTACATGTACAACCCTTCCTTTGACAGTGGGCTGACGAGCCTTGGCAAAGAGTGTAAATGTTCCTTGAACTTTTGGGAGGCCGCCTCTGCATCCGTCCCCCATTCAAACATAGCCTTCTTCTTGATTGCTTGGAAGAAATAGAGGCACTTGTCGCATGACCGACTGAGGAATCTCCCCAATGCTGCCAGACAACCTGTTAACTTTTGAACTTCCTTAACAGTACGGGGCGACTGCATGTCTATGACTGCCTGTATTTTTTCTGGATTGGCATCTATCCCCCTTTGATCAATCAGAAATTCGAGGAACTTCCCAGACTCAACACCAAAAACACATTTCGTGGGATTGAGCATGACCTGGTGCCGCCTGAGTGTGGCAAATGTTTCTCGGAAATCTGTAATATGGTCCGTCTGAAGTTTGGATTTGACTATCATATCATCCATGTATGCCTCTAAATTCCTTCCGATTTGATTAACGAAGACTGTATTAATCATTCTCTGGAAGGTAGCAGGCGCATTCTTCAAACCAAACGGCATCACAGTATAGCAAAATAACCCTTGATCAGTGACGAATGATGTCTTTTCTTGATCCTTCTTCCACAAGGGTATCTGGTGAAAGCCCGAATAGGCGTCCATGAAGCTCATCAAGACATGACCGGCTGTAGAGTCGACCAGACTGTCGATCTTTGGTAGAGGATAGCTATCCTTTGGACATGCCTTGTTTAAGTCTGTGTAGTCAACACACATGCGTCAGGTTCCATTCGGCTTCTTTACTAGCATCACATTAGCAACCCAATCAGGGAAGTAGCATTGCCGAATGAACTTAGCATCTAACAATTTTTTCACCTCGGCGGCTGCCGCCTGGCTTCTTTTTTTACCATGGCTCCTCTTCTTCTGCCTTACCGGCTTCTTTTTAGGATCCACATAAAGTTTATGGACGGCAAGATCCGAGCTGATGCCTGGAATCTCGTCCACTTCAAACACTACACGAAAAGAGCAAATTGGCAACGGTTCAAACCCCCCAAAGGCAACGGTTTTGAACCGTTGCGTATTTGAGGGTTGCCAAATCCCAAAGTAATTGGCGCCCTTTTTTTTTAAAAAAAAAAAAAATATTGGCAACGGTTAACCGTTGCCATTGCCCTTTTTTTTTTTTTTTTTAATAATTGGCAACGGTTAACCGTTGCCATCGACCTGTATTTTTTTTTTTTTGGCGGCAATATTATTAATATTATAATATTAATATTAATAATAATAATTATAAATATTATATTCAATGGATGATTATTATGCTATGGCCATACAATTTTGCATTATCATTGACACTTCAATCAATCTTCGAATAGATTGTAAGAACAAGTTTTCCCATCCTTATGTTTAGTTAAATATTGGTACAACCTTAGCTTACCCTAAGAACAACCCCAATACTATGAGAACGAGATTAGCACTTATTGACTACACTACTACAAAGTCTTCATCAACTCATATAATACAACGATGATATAAAGATGATTTTGTTTACTGGAAGATCACCAAGGACGGAGAATTCTCAACAAAATCTTCCTATTCGTCTTTGTTTATGCAGTAGCAGCAACAACAAACAGAAACCAGTAGCAGTAAACAGACACCATCAGCAGCACCACAACACAGGCTCAGCCGTCAGAAGCAAAAACCAATAGGACAGCTACAGCAAGGCAGAAAAAACAGGGACAGTAGCAGCAAAACGAACCCAGCAGGCCACCAGCACCACAGCCCCCAGCCATTGAAACAGCAGACCAGTACCTGACTTCACCAATGCAAACACACACCAAACAAAGCCCAATAAGTGCTTACTCTCCAGCCTTCCACCAAAGGTCCACGATTGGTCCTTGTTGATTTGAATTTGGACAAATCGACATTACAGCTACCAACCAAATAGCTCCAATAGTCCCTTACAGATGATGCAATATCAATAACTTCCACCTGCCTCGATGCCAGCTGATCTTTGTTTAGACCGTGTACCTGTAAAATCACAACTACTAGTCAGGAGTGGCCACTGGCCAGTGCAGTCCACAAGTGACTTGGAACAAGATATACATTGCAGATATCACTTTTAGCATAGATGTCCTCTCTCCCTATTTTGAAGCTTGTGTTGATGGTTCATGTTATTTTCTCATTAAGTAGCTCAAGTATGTAATTACGAGTCCATATGAAACTAGAATGCATAGAAAGTCTGCAGTAGCAACAAATTCAATAACACCTACATTTTCTGATTTTCCATTATCTGCAACGTGAATCGTATCAATAGTAAGAAGCAGCTTGCTCAAGCTTGAACACTGTATATAATAAGGAACTAGTTAGCTGATGAATCATCAAAGAGAAACGCTTCAGAAATTCAAGATTATGTCAGCAGGACACATACCTTAATCACTAGTGTTCAGGGTCCAGTTGCATATAGACAGAACATTCATATCAGTATATATTATAAGAATAACAAGTTTGTGAGAAGGAAACAAGATTTTGAATATATGATAACCTGATTTGCATTTGGGATATGCATTCCAGGCTTCCTCTTTCAGAAGGAGGGAATCTGCTGGTGCAAATGTGGTAAGCCAAGAGGGGATTTTGCTGCAGAAGCAGAATATGTCGTAAATGAAGTGAAAATAGCTAATGCCATGCAACTTAAAGAAGAACCAGAAGTTAATAAGGGCGACTTCTGATTTTACGTTTTCTACAATGATAAGAAACAATGTAATGTAAAGCAGCCATGACTATGAAAGCATAATTCATGCATGGTGCAGAAGCAGCAGAGCTGCCAGAATATTAAACTAGTGAAAGATTAAAAAGGAGAAGAAAATGATTGATTAAATGAGTAAGAAGTAATAAGAAAACTACTACAATTTAAAGCATGTAAAAAGCTAGTGAAAAATTTAGACTTCTCTTAAAAGAAAGCAAAAACTCCCAGACAAAAATAACAAATTGAAGAACGTCTTGGTGAGTTCATAGCAGATACAAATCAATAGGAGTCTGATTAAGAAGCTGCAGAGATTGCATTGTTGGGGGTAGCAATAAACGGGCGTTTTGAACTATACAAGCATTTCGTTTTCTCAAGCATAAGGTTATAACTCAAAAACAAAGGCAGTTTGGCAGAACGCACAGTTAGCTCAACTAAGTTTCCATATAATCAGAATTTATATACTTAAATAGACTAAAACAGTGTATGAATTATGATCATAGTTGGCAAAACTTATAGTAAAACTAATTACATGTCTTCACTATTTACAAGGGCTTATATTAATTTGCATTATTAGTAAACTGTTTCAAATTAATAATTTCATCATAGTTGTTGTTCTTATTGAGGCTGCCATTAAACTGATAATTCCCATCTTTAAATTAATAATTTCATCATATTTGCAGAAGCAAATACATGGCATATGTGTCAATTAAAATAGACAAAACACAGTCACACAACTCCCTCACTGCCCCTGCTCTGCTCCTCACACACAGCAGCCCGTAATTTCAATTTAAGCCACAAGGTAGCCTCCACACCAACACACAATCACACCACACATCAAGAATTAAACATCAAGGAGTACCTCATTTTAATTGAGCCTTCACTACAACCTGCCGCAACCCACAACGCCAACACCTAACTGCATAAACCTCCAGGACCAGCAGCAATTTCGAACAATAATACATAAATTAAATCCAAAAAAATCATGGCATTTAACATGAATAATTGGACCAAAATGCAAAGCTAAAGAACCCAGAAACCCTAACCTCGTATTTGTGATTTTTGAATCGATAATTGATTCAATTTTGTTGTTGTTGTTGTATTTGGTTCAAATTGACGGCGGCGGCGATGGTGGTTGTGCTTGGTTCTAATGACGCCGATTTCCGACGGAGGGCAGCGGTGGCCGATTGATGCTTGCATGGTTCGAATTGGCGCTAGCAATGGTGGTTGTGCTTGCAACCCTAAACAACAACCCTAAACAGCAACCCCGTGAGGCCGCGACAGCAACCCTAAACAGCAACCCTGACGGCCGGCGAGTGGCGGCGACAGCAAGTCAGCAAGATTGAGAGTTTGAGAGTTCAGTTGAGAGGATGAGAGGAGAGTTTGAGAGTTCAGTTGAGAGGATGAGAGGATTGAGACTCTGAGCAAGATGAGTAATAACGTATACCCGGGTTTTTTATTTAAACCGTTGCCAACCTCTACCCTTTTTTTTTTTTTTTTTAATAACCGTTGCCAATTTTAAAAATAAAAAAAAAGGGGTAGAGTTGGCAACGGTTTTCATGAACCGTTGCCATAGGGGGGTTGCCTATTTCTGTTTTTCTACTAGTGAAAGGCAAAGATGTCTTTGAATTCTTTTAACAAGTGGTGCAAGCTTGCACCAGGTTCAGCAAAAGCAGTCATCCCAACCTTAACAGTCCGGTCAGGACGAGAGTCATCTAGGACGACCTCCATGTGCTCACCAGCCGGCTGGGGATGGAGTTCATCCGGCCTTTGACCGATCAGTGATTGTTATCGCCTGTCTTTTTTCTCGGCCACCATTTGGTTGGCCTTTCTCTTCTTGCCGGCTGCTGTTGTTGCAAGCGCAGCTTCCTTGACTTGGTCAAGGTCAGTAGTCTCTCCACTAGGGCCGGATGCGACCACAGTGGGCTTTACATTAGAGAGGTAACACTCCCTGGCCATCTTCTGGTCTCCCCGTAGGGAGCCGACTGTTCCATCGTCCCTCTCAAACTTGAGAAGCATAAGAGAAGGAATGGTAACAGCCTTGGATTCATTCAGGGTGGGACGCCCCAGAATCATGTTGTAGGCCGTCATTTCTTCAACAACCAAGAACCGGACCACCATGTGGCGTCCTTTCCCTTTCTCATCCAGTCGAATAGGTAAGTCTATTCGACCTACCGGATGTACCACACCACCCCCAAATCCTACTAAGGGATGAGAGACTTGGTGCATACTCTCGGGCTTGTACCTGAGCTTGGTCAGGCATTTGTGACTGATGATGTCTGAAGAACTCCCGGGTCAATGAGGATTCGTCCAACTCTTTGGTTGGCCACTTTGCATTCAATTACAACAGGGTCATCATGCGGCCTCCTAACTCTGCCCTTGTCATCGTTAGTGATAAATGACTTCGGGGAAGGAATCCTTGGACGCCTGTCCCTCGTCAACTGAATTAACATCGAGCCCCCTGATGTAGTCCTTATTACCCCGGATGGTACGCCAGCGAAGCCGTCTACTATTGTATAGATCGGAGTTTCTTCAGTATTCGAACTATTAGCAGAGTGGGACTTCTTTTTGGGCGGCTCCCAGTGTTAGTTTGTAGGGTAACTTTGGATCTCAGAATATAGGACTTGAGTACTCCCTTTTCGGCCAGACGATCCAACAAACGCTTGAGGCTATAGCACTCGTTAGTATCATGGCCAATATCCTCATGGTAGTGGCAGTATTTGTTCTTGTTCCGATTGTTGGCAGAACCTTTCATAGGAGCCGGCTTCTCAATAGAGACCCGATCCATAATCTCCATGTGGATGGAATAATAGTCTATTGAATTCGTACTTTGGGGAGTACGTCTTCGCTTCTTTCTTTTTCTTCTGGGATGGCTGTTCAGAAGTTTCAGCCACCCAGACTTGTTTTCTTTTCTTTTCTTCTTTCTTATTTCTTAGCTCGCTGTGACGGCTGACTCTCTTTTTTGTCAGACCTCCTTGAGTCCGACTGTTTACCAACATTGTAGAGTTCGGTCGCCTATATATAGGCATCCGCCTCCACCAATGCCTCTTGGAGGGTAGCCACCCTCTTTCTGACGAGGTCGAACTTGAAGGCCGACCCGTCCTTCAGACCTTTGAAAAGTCTGTGTAGGCTACCTCATCAAACAACCCTTGAATCTGAATTTTCATCAAATTGAAGCGCTTGATATAGGAGCGCAGCCCCTCCTTCTCTCCCTGCTGTATAGCTCCCAAGTCAAGACTTGTCTTCTTTGCAGGGATATTCATTGAGAAGTTCAACGCAAACAAGTATGCAAGCGTCTTGAAATTACTTATGCAACCGGCTGGCAGGTTGTCGAACCATTGCTGGGCGACGCCCTTCAATGTGGCCGGGAAGCATCTAAACCATGTAGCATCGTCCAACCCTTGAAGATACATAAGGTTGGTGTATGCCATCAGGTGGTCTTCTGGGTTGGAGGTACCATCGTAAGTGCCTATCAACACATTCTTCACCTTGGCCAGCTGTGCGGCCTCAGTTATTTCGTTGGAGAAAGCTGAAGGTTGTTCTCCAAGTCTTAGCAGACGAAGCTGCCAGTCCAAGGGCTGGACGTTAGGTGCCGCCTGCCCTCCGAAGAGAGTAGGCTGCATAAAAGGTTGTCCATACGGCATGTATGGCTGTTGAGGCGCATACGGGGCCGTCTGGAATATCTGAGGACTGGAGTGAGCGAACATGCCGCCTGTCCAGTCCTCTTGGTTTGATTAAGAATACCTCATCGAGGCATTCTGAAAAAGGTCATTGAAGTTCGACGTTGAGGCCGACTCTGACAGTTGCATGTTCCTCTTTTGCTAGATTATCATCCGAGTATCGGAATATGTTTTCTTGGAACCATCTGGTAGTACATGCCGGATGGCCTTCCTCTTCCCTGTCTCAGGGAACCGAAGTCCTGCCAAGTTTATCAAGGGCTTCGGCCCTTCCCTTGGTTTAGGGTAAAGAGTGGGCTCTCGGTCCTTGACCGGCTTATTCCTCCCAGAATGAGAGGGCTTTTTGGCCTACTGTTCCTTGGTAGGAACAACCGTCCGTTTATCAATAAGATCCTTAATCTCCCCTTTGAAACTTGTCATGAGAATCATGAGCTCGGAGGGAAACATCTCTCTGATATACACTACACGAAACAAGCAAATTGGCAACGGTTCAAACTCCCCAAAGGAAACGGTTTTGAACCGTTGAGTATTTTAGGGTTGCCAAATCCCAAAAAAATTGGCAACGGTTCAAAATCGTTGCCAATTGCTTGTTTCGCGCCTTTTTATTTATTTTTTATTTAAGCATTGGCAACGGTTAACCGTTGCCAATGTTCTGTATTGTTTTTTTTTTTTTTTGGCTGCACTAATATTGACCTGTTTTTTTTTTTTTTTTGGCTGCAATATTATTATTATTATTATTATTATATTAATAATAATAATAATTAGTAATAATAATAATAATAATTACTATTATTATTATATATGATAATAGTAACAATAATTAGTAACTTTAATAACAAAACATAAATAATTAATAATAACAATCGCATGCAAGGGATGATATAAATTAGAATTATATTTCATGTATACTAATATACATAATTAATAAGCTAAGCCAAGCCTAGGATTGATGAAGAGATATGATGATATTGTACAAAAATGTATGACGATATTTACAAATTAAATGTGATGTAGGTCGCCAACATCTCCCGAATTACATGGAGTTCCTCGCTCGTGTATGGAAGTCCCGTTTGCCCCTTGCAAAACTTAGAATACACAAAACGTGAGTTAGAAAGAAGTGAAATAATAATAATTGGGGTTAGTTATAGGTGACTAATGCTTGAGATTACAAGAAAAGAGCAAGTAAGAGGTTTTGGGACGCAATTTCAACCAAAATGGATCAAGTAAGGCCATTTTGGCTTCTATGATGCCTATTTTCTACAATTCTTGTCTATTGAACTCATAACTAGTTAAAACATGTCATTATCACTTAGTTATAGGTGACTAATGCTTGAGATTACAAGAAAAGAGCAAGTAAGAGGTTTTGGGACGCAATTTCAACCAAAATGGCTAAAGTAAGGCCATTTTGGCTACTAGGATGCCTATTTTCTACAATTCTTGTCTATTGAACTCATAACTAGTTAAAACATGTCATTATCACTTAGTTATAGGTGACTAATGCTTGAGATTACTTGAACAGAGCAAGTAAAAGGTTTTGGGACGCAATTCCAACCAAAATGGCATACCTCTTCAAGCTGACGTGTGTCTGTACAATGACTCATCACTATGTCATACATGAATCTCATCACGTATAGGCCACAGTCAACTCCGTTTTGCTGTTGTGCGCACTAGCATGAGGAACAAAGCACATGAATCAAAATGCATAGCAAATAAGCGACATCTTAAGCATTGTAAAGTAAGAAAATCACAACATCATGGGTGAATTACCTTAGGTGCTTTCCATGTAGGACCTCGAGGAGATCGAGGATTTATCTTCTTCATGGTACTACGAAAAATCAAAGTAATAAGTTCAAATTTGACTAGTATAATCAATACATATGAGTTAAGATATGAAAATGAATAACAAGAATTGAAACAAACTAGATACTTACTTTTGTAGTATGGACCTCACGAGGCGCTTTCTTACTTGAGGCAACCGAGCAGAGTCAAAGTAGAAGATTGTGTTACTGGAAACACAAATCACAAGTAGGGTCCAATGAGCACTACACATGAGACAAACAAATCAATAGTCAGCCTATTACAACAAATAAACTGGGAAAACAAATGAACTTGACTAGCATAATCAGACGTACTTCTCATAATATGGGACGAATATAAAATTGTCTCCCGCATTCACTGATTGCCTGATACCCCGTTCAGCATAGTACAACACGTCAGCAGAGTTTCCTAAGATTCTAGCGGTGGACATCTGCTCAGGGCATAACCACCCAACTTGAAAAGGAGATTCTTGCTCCCATATTTGCTCCTGGAGTGCTCTGCATGCATGATAAAAAATGAGGGAAATGTTAAGCATTGTACCGCTTAGAAATTGAATACCACTAAATTGAATAACATAAATTAAGTACCAGTTGAATTACCTCATGCATATTTGAATGAGGGAAATGTTAAGCATTGCACCGCTTAGAAATTCCGTCACATCTTCTTTGAATAGCCATGTCGTTGCATCATCATCGTAGTGGAACATTTCCTTAGGAAGCTGAATTTGGATGGGGCTGTCATCAGGCAACACGCAAACACGGTTGTGCAAATAAGCTAACTCCTGGGACAGCGATTGAAGCACCGTGTCTTCAACTAATGGAGTAGCTTTCGAAGCTGAACCTAGTGAAGGGCTCTTCATCGGCGCCTTTCCACTCACCGAGCCATGTTCAATTCTGTTCTTTGGCCCCTCCACCCTCTTCTTTGGCGTTTGGCTTATCCTCGATGGCTAATAAGTATGATAACACA